CGCCCCCGCCCCACGGCCCGGGGTAGGTGGTGGTGTCTGCGCGGTGCCTGCTCGGTGCTTTCCGCTGCACCCAAGCCCGTTCCTATCTCAGAGGCGGTAAAGAAACACTTCTGCGGGCAGCCCCTCCCGCACCTTTTCCCAGAGGCGCCCCGCGTTAGCCTGTGTGTTTCCCCAGGGATATTTAATTCCCGTCTTCTGGATTTTTAGGCGGAGAATGCCCACATGCTGCCTTGGTTTGCCAACCAGGCACGCCTCACCCCGCCACGAGCTATTACTGTGCTTCTTTGCATAAGCACACTGTCCAGCGCTCCCAAGGCTGAGGGGTTCCGCGCCAGCAAACGAGTGTGTTACTCGTATAAAAATATGGTAATGCACACGCACACAGAGAGACACGCAGACACACACATACACACACACACATCCCAGACACACACTTTGTGCATATGGTACATACTGAAGTAACTCTTCTGACTTTTTTGCGTAATTTAATGACACGTTCCGGGTATCAGTCCATCTGCGCACAGAGCGTGAACATTCTTTTGTCGGGGCAAAATGCACATTAACGGCTTCCTGTCAGACTAATAAAAATCATTTTATGAGTTACGGCTTTTAATATTTAAGGCTGTAATCAAGACCCCCACAACTCAAGTTATGAGCCACAACAAAAGCCGTCTTCTTGCTTCTGAAAAGTCCGGTTCAGGATCGAGGGCCATTCTGCTGCTAGGCTCAGAAGCCAGGTTCCGTGCTCCAGTCCCCAGCCCTGTGTCCAGCCGGCCACTGAGGGAAGACGGAGGCCGAGGAGACCGAGCAGTCAGCCCCGCCCGCAGGTGACGGGCCCCATGTAGATGCGCGTCCTGTGGACCAGCGCTGGTCCCCTCGTCCCGCCTGGCCGCACAGGACGCAGGACGCGTGGCGACGCTCGTGCCTGGGAATCAGAAGAGAGGTGACACCGGCGGGCCCTGGCCAGTCTCTGTCACCTTCCTTGTCAGAGTATAGGCTGCTTCCTAGGATCCCACCTGCAGACGCCCCTTTGCTTGCCTCTGACACGACGGGGGCCAGACTGAAAGCGTGCGAACACGGTCCTCCCAGACACTGAGTGTCCCGTCAGAGCTGACATGTGGCTGAGCCGCTGTTCTCACCGTGCGCTGCTATTAAAACTGCGGTAGTTGTTGTAATTGAATGAAAACCGTGAAGCGTGTCTCTGTGCGCCCAGAGTTGACTGTCGTTCCTCCCTTTCAGCCTCTGCATAAGAGCCTCGACCCCAGCAACCTGGAGCACCTCATCACGCCCTTGGTCACCATCGGCCACATCGCCCTGCTGGCGCCGGACCAGTTTGCCGCTCCGCTCAAGTCCTTGGTCGCCACCTTCATTGTCAAAGATCTGCTGATGAGCGACCGGGTAATGACGCCCTCAGGCGGCTGTTTCTCCAAACGCTTGCTCCCAGAATCGTGTGCGGCGGCCAGAGGTGAAATGTCCGAGACCCCACTTCCCCCGGGGAGGCCGCTTTCGGGTGCCCGCGGCCTCGCTGCCTGGCGTCTGTGGGAGGTAGCACAGCGTCAGACGCTGGGTTAGCCGATCGGAGGCACGTGACCGGGGCCAGTTGTTGGTGAATGCAGAACGTCGCCTGTTCTAGTCCAGCCTGACAGGGTTTAGTTCTTGTGATAACCGTCCGTTTTCAAAACGGACAGACTCGGAAGCCGGTCCCCAGGGCTCCTCCCCCTCCCCGTAGCAGAGAGCCCTGGGTGCAAACGTAGGAAGGGAGGAAGACGGGTGTCTGTCTCCCGTGTGTCTGAAGAGTTGGTCCCTGACAGTCGCGTGGACTTTCACGCACCCGTGAGTGGGGGTGGGGGGGTGTCACACACAAACCCACGCAGGACCCTCAGTACCGTGGCCGCTGTGTGCGCAGGGCTGCAGTAGGTCCTCTGAGGAATTAAACGACGAGGTCATGCTTTCTGCTCTTAGAATACAGGCAGCGCTCTTTGTTTAAAAGGATTTCCTTTTAGATTGTGATTGAGTGGAACTTCACAGAGCACGCTGGTTTTTCACTGAGTGGTCCGTACACGCTTTGTTTCGTGACATTCAACGCCACTTTCTCCTGTGCTTACCGCTCCCCTTCGTCCTTTCCTACCCTTTCCTGAGTTCTGAGCGTTATCCCTGGGCAAACACTACCTTCTGATCTCCTGTGCTTGCTCGTTCTAGGGAGTGGGCACCTCCCTGGGGTCGATGTTGGCCTCACGGGCCTGTCCGTTGTTTGGTGGAACGCTGAGCCACAGGGGTGGGTCCAGTTCCAGACCTGAAGGGTGACCAAGGGTCGTAGTCCCGGAGGTGCCACCAGTCTCTGTCTGACTGTACTGCCACGTGTGTCATAGCCACCATTATTTTTCCATCTCATTAATAAATGTAAATACTTCTAAGCTTACTGATGATGAAAATCGTTTGGGGGCCTAATAGTGAGGCTAACCGTGTGTATGGCGTCTGAGACCCCTAGTGATTTGTGGCTGTTTGATTTAGCCAAGCAGAAGGCTGGTGTCTGGACACCAGCGGCCCCATTCCCATTGTCCACCCATCCGGAGAACGCTGACCCTTATGGCCGGCAATTAGGATTTGTCCACGCACCTGACTGCAGTGAAGACTGGAGCAACTGCAGGCCGGGCGTCTGCTTCAGCACCGGCTACTGTTGGCTCTTCCTCTTTGTCACCTCTCTCCCTGGGGTAGACTTCATGCGCGCAGGGGACCGCAGTGAGGCCTGCAGAGCCGGAATCGGCGGGCCCCCCCACTTTTCTGGGTCTCCCAAGGCTTCCCTCTTTGGCAGGGTGCTTGCTTCTTTCCTGTCGCTCGTTCTAGTGGAAGACGTTTAAGTGGCCTTCTCCGATGGGTCTCGGCCTTACCCAGTCGGGTCTCGCAGGCTTCACCGCAGAAGCCGGCAGCGTGGCTTCTGTCTCACGGTGAACACCCGTGAGCTGTAGAGGCCCCTTGCCCTGCTGCCCTGCCCACTTCTTCCTGCCCCAGGTGACCGCCCTCTCAACTCTTAGGTTTATTATCTCGTAACTAGAAACACAAATGCCTTACCACATACATCTCTCTAAGCAGAATGTGTTCGTTGTGCTTGTTCCTGAGCCTTACATAAATTACATCCTCCCGGGGACAGTCCCGGGTAACGGCCTCTTCTCCTGCTGCACATCCTGGTCTAAGAGTGATCCTCGTCGTTGAATCAGCCATGGGTACCCCGCTCGCTGCTTGGTGTCACTCCTTTGCAGGCAGGGTCTCGTATCTACTGACCCTCTCAGTGGACACGTGGAGTGTCGCCACATCTTCCCTCCCTTCAGCAGAGTGGCTGGGACTGTTCCTCAAGCAGCTTCCTGATGCACGTTAGCAAGAATTCCTGGGAACTTTTCAGTTCATCGTCAAATTGTTCTTCAAAATGATCATCAAAACTTACTTTCCTGTGACAGTGTGTAACACTCATTGTCAGATTCCTTAATTTCTGCCCATCTAGTGGATACAAAGGATGGAGCTCTGGTGGCCTAGTGCCTAAGGCATTTGACTGCTAACCAGAAGGCTGGCGGTTCAAACCCCCCAGCCACTCCTCGGAAGGAAGGTTAGGCAATCTACTTCCGTAGAGATAACGCCTTGGAAACCCAAGGAGGTGTCGCTATGAGTTGGAAACGACTCAACAGCAGAGAGTTTGGTTTTGGGTTTGTTGTTGTTGTTACTAATGGAGCTCGCACGTCTAGTTACCACTCATGTCGCCTCCTCTCTGAAGCGCGTTTTGGTATCTTCTGCCCGTTTTCCTATGGGCTGTTTGTCTTTCCCCCATAGGTCATCTTTACCCACATTAACCCTTTGTCAGGTGTATGTGGCAGTATCTTGATCAAATGCATGAAGCCCCATTTTTGGTTTGTCTTGTCACTGTGATATTCTTTGAACAAAAGTTGTTCATTTTTTTTTTAATGGGTTTTTTTTTTTTTTTTGGTAATTTTTGTCTGTTCAGAGTTTACACATCAGTCTGTGTTACCTTCTAAAAGTAGGCTAATTTTAATGAAACTAAATCTATTATGGGAGCTCTGGTAGCGTAGTGCCTAAGGCATTTGACTGCTAACCAGAAGACTGGTGGTTCAAACCCACCAGCCCCTCCTTGGAAGAAAGGTTGGCAATCTACTTCTGTAGAGATACTGCCTCAGAAACCCAAGGGGAGGGGTCGCTGTGAGTCGGATCTGACTCGACAGCATATAAACAACAACAAATCTATTACTGTTTTCTTTTGTAGTTAATGCTTTTTATATCCTGTTTGAGAAATCTTTTCCTATTCCATCATAAAAATAGTCCCATATTTTTTCCTAAAAGTCTGCAGGCTTTTTGTTCACATGTGAAAAATATACCCCGTCTGGGATTGGTGTGCGTGTTTTGTGTGCTGTGGTACGAGGGTTCCATTTTGTATTAGTCTCTCATGAGTGGGACCAAGCTTCTCAGCACAGCTGGGGAGGAACTGGCCTTCCCCCACCGTCTGCAGCGGCCCCACACACCGACCTGGCCCCGCTGGCTCCTGGGGTTGATTTGTTCATTCTACTCTTCACTGTCCGTCCTTAACATTTTATGATTTTCCCTCTAAAGAAAATTTAAGATGTCTCTTGTATGTCGTCTCTGGGGCTCTCCAAGTGTTTCAGTCACTTTTTCTGTTCATGGTCGGTTGGGGCGACGTGTCTGGTCGGTTGGGCTTCTGTCTGTCCCCCTTGCGGAGTCCTTGCTGAGCGCTGTGGTTTCCGTTGCATATCTGGGAGCAATGCCCAATCTCATGCTTTTCGGATCCCTGCATCACTCACTGCTGTGTGTTCCTGCGTGTATTTCCGGTGTATTCCCTTTTGTGAGAGAGGTGTGGTCATCTGTGGCGATGATTGAGTCGTCAGTCTCTGCTCATTTTCTTGACTGCCTTTGTTTCGGTTTCTTTTGGTAGGGAAACACGTGTCTTCTTTGTGGTTCAAGTTTGTGCTTCAGGGTCCTGTTTCCCTCAGAACCCTGTTTCTGTCCACACCCCATTCAGTGCTTTTTGCCTTCACTGCTGTGTCTGCCCTCCTGTTGGTTGCAGGTTTCCACATAGTTGGTTCTGATTGTGTTACTTTAATCCATCTGGTAGTTTCTGTTGCTCTTATTTATGAGGACTTTTCTCGTTTGTTAGGACTTTTATTTTCTATGTACTGCGATCTTAGCTGATTGAATGTCTGTCTTGGGATTTGCTAAGCGGCAGGGAAGCGTCATCTTCTGATCTCCTCTAACGTCCCAAGGTGGACGCAGAATCACCCTCCGCAGCCCAAGGCTGATTCCCATGAGGCCAGACAGGCCGCCTGCCTGCAGGCCGTTACAGTCTGACACCAGCTCACTGCTTCTCTGCTGGGTTCAGTACTGTGTTGCAGTGATCACAGAACTCCCAGACAATGCTCACGATTATGGGGTTTATTAGGGAAGTAACAGGCTACAATTCAGGTTCAGGGACACGCTCAGGATGCAGCTCTTCGATCCTGACGTTCTCCTGTCTGCTGTGCTCTTAGACACATCTGCCTGGATGTTGGCCCCTTGGCCTGGCCTCTGCCTCTGTGGCCGAGGTAAGCCTGCCACTCTGTCTCTTGCCTCTCGGTTCCACTGCTGCGTCTCCCTGCCAGGGGTTGCCTCTGCCGGGGTGTCTCTCAGCCAAGGAGGTCCAGTGCGGGGATCTTGGGTCCAATGACACACTCCACTTCCCCTCCAGTCCCTCTCTCTCGATGCCAGTGAGATCCCCTCCCCGCTCTAGAAGGGCTCAGTTCAGGCGGAGTGAGGAAACTAGCCGGTCCCAGCATCAGAGCTCTCCACACCTTCTTCACATGGTCCCGCCCAGCGACCTGGTGGGAGTCATCCAGACTGTGGCTGGCTGTGCCGTACCGAGGAATTCACTGCACGGCAGGATTTAAGCAGTTCAGGGCATAGCGTGTCTTGAGTCGTTCTTCCAAAATGGGCTTGCGCCTTGGAAACTTACTCTTTGTCTTCAGTTTCTGAGAGTATTTCCCCTCATTCTGGGCCACTGCTAATGTCCTGGGCTCAGAATGTTAGGTTGCAAGTGATTTGGCTGCAGAAAGCGCAGAGCGCTGTGTTCCGGCGTCTGCGCCTCTCAGGTCTGCGGTTGACCTGACGCTTTCCTGTTTGGCTGGCCTCCCCTGACGCTTGTGGCATCTGTTCAGGAGCCTTCGCTGAGAGACTCTGTCAGGAAGTGCCAGCTGTGGTTCCTGCTACATTAAGCCTGCTCCGTACTTGAAGGCTCTTCTCGCCCGGACGACTGAGTGCGCGGCTCTGTGTGGATGTCTGGCTCCGTGTGCCTGGGAAACGTTCTTCCGGGGGTGGTGTTCCTGGCCTGTTAGCTGGGGGTTACCTCACGTGTGCTCAGTGTCTCAGTCCCGGGCCACCCCTGGAGATCACTTACGTCCACTGGGGTAAAAACGGCTATCTCAGGTGTTCTGGGATTGGTTCCTCGTTTTTGCCCCCTTACTGTAGCATAGTGGCTAAAGCACTTGACTGCTAACCAGAAGGCTGGCGGTTCAAACGCACCAGCCACTCCTCGGAAGGAAGGTTGGGCAATCTACTTCCATAGTGATACTGCCTCGGAAACCCAAGGAGGGGTCGCTATGAGTCAGGGCCGACTCCACAGCACATAACAACGACAACTGTAATTTCCTGGCTCCTGCCTCACATACGCATCTCCCAGTACCTTAAGTTTTCTCATCTCTGGGTTGGTCATGGGCATGTATTAACGTCTTTAACTTTGCTTAGCTTCCAGGTAAAAAGACCACTAAACTTTGGGTCCCCGATGAAGAAGTTTCTCCTGAGACAATGGTCAAAGTGAGTAATATGCGTGCCTCTGTCGGTTTGGATACATTTAATAGGCTGTGATACTATCATGAGGTTCCCCACGAGGCTACTGTTGGCTCTTGGCTACTAACCAGAAGGTTGGCGGTTGGACCCACCCAGTGGCACTGCGGGAGAGGGCGGCAGGCTGCCGTAGTTGACAGCCCTGTGAACCCCGTGGGGCAGCTCTCCTCTGAGACACGGGTCGGCCTGAGCCGGAGTTGAACAGGGTGTCTCTGTTTTGTTTTGAATATTACTGAGGTGTTAACAGTTCATTCCTGTCATTGTTTTATGGCTACAAAAGGCCATCGTATTTGCTGTTTGGCGTCGTTCTGTGTATTGGGGTTGGGTAGGGCAGTATTGGGACACCTGGCGTCTTGCGGAGCAGCTGCTGTGCTGAAGAGAAAGGGTTGAAAGCTGCCTCCACGTCTCTGCTGCTTAGATGGCAGCCTTTGGCAGGAAACGGCGGCTTTTCCTGTGGATGGACGGCTGCCTTTCCATACAGACAGAAACACCGTTCTGAGGCTCTGGTGGGATGTAGGGAGGCTGAGTTATGGCTCAGAAGTTGCTGCTGTAAACACGTCTCTTCTCCGGGAAGAGGAGTTAGCATGAAGGTCGTTTGTCCCTGGGGGCGGGTGACTGACTGACTGACTGAGAGTCTCTAGGTCGACCCGGCCACGATGGGCAGGGCGGGAGCACTGGTACTAAATGCTGCTTTGCTGCGGCTGCGCTTCCTGCTCCATCTCAGTGGGCGTGTGTTTACACTGTGTGACGTGGCCCGTTTCCCACAGTGTCCCAGCTCCAGCTGACCTGGGAGCAGGTCTTCCTGGGGCGGGGGCGGGGGACGCATCACAGGCTGGCACCTCCAGGCTCAGACTCCAGGTGAGCCCGTGTGCCAGCCCCTCGCTCCGCCTTTACTCGGTAGTTGAGGGAAGCCAGGACTGGGAGGCAGGCCATGCCTGGAAGCCAGGCTCACTGAGTGACCTCAGGAGAGGTCTGGAGAGTGTCCGCCACGTGCCGGACACCGTTGGAGGTGCACTGAGCCTCAGCTTGGCTTCTCAGGAGGGAGCTGGGCAGCCCTTCCGAAAGCTTAGCGTGGACACGAAAGGCACAGAGGTGGGCAGCGCACCCTGGTTGTCAAACGCTTGCAGACGTGCAGGGTCACCACGTCACAAGCACAGAAGGGGGACAGCGCTGGTGGTTCAGAACTGGAGTTTTCGCACCAGGAAAATCAGCAAAATTTTATTATGCTCTAAAGTGTGGAAGGCATGTTGGAGAAGCATTAAAAACAAAAACAAAAATAGTCTTCAGTCAAATTATATATTTGCCATGCCCAGTAATCCATCTATCATGTCTGTCTGTCTGTCCATCTTTCTGTCCATCATCTCTCTATCCATCCATCATATACCATCTGTCATCCACCCATCCACATGCCCACCTACTTACCTACCTATCCATCATCTGTCTGTCCATCCATCCATCCACTCAGTCATCTGTCTGTCTATCTATCATCTATCTGTAAACCAAAACAAACTCACTGCCATGGAGTCAGACCTGACTCATAACGACCCCTCCTTGGGTTTCTAAAGCGGTGTCACTAAGGAAGTAGATTTGCCCAACCTTCCTTCCAAAGAGTGGCTGGTGGGTTTGAACCGCCAACCTTCTGGGTAATGGTTCAGTGCTTTAGACACTCTGCCATCATCTGCTGACCTGTCATCCATCTGTCTGTCTGCCTGCCTACCTACCTACATATGAATAATTCTTTTTTGTTCCTTAAAGAAAGGTCCATTAAAAACATTCCCTGAGTTTTTTCAAAACGTGGTGTGGAAATTCTCAGGAAATGTGATGGCTTACCTGTCCATCTCTGTTAACCAGATCCAGGCCATTAAAATGATGGTGCGGTGGCTCCTTGGGATGAAGAACAACCACAGCAAATCGGGAACGTCTACCTTGCGCTTGCTGACGACAATACTGCACAGCGACGGGGACCTGACGGAGCAGGGCAAGATCAGGTGCGCACCCGGCTGCAGCACTTCCCACTGAGCCGTCGGGCCGTCGTTGACTGGAGCCGCTGGATCGGGAGCACGGCTCTGGAGGGTTGCACGCATGTTACTGTAATAGGCTTTGTATTATTTCGAAATAGCAGCCACATGTCTGCTGAGGACGCGGCTACACGCTCAGTGTACGCGTGTCAAACCATGGGTGTGTACTGTTTGGAATGTATAGTGTGAATGTGATCTTGGTGGTGCACACCCTTGTTAATGCCTGAAGGCAAAAGAGCAGCCTTGGTGGAAGGCTTGTCTTCAGTCTCTTACAGATGTGGAGGGATGTGCCAGTGTAAAAATGCATGCATGCAAGTGATGTAGAACACATATGCTTTTGGTCTGGTTCTATTTATTTTGTTTGTTTATTTGAGAGAGAGAATGTAGTCATTGAAAACTGGAACCCCAGCGCCACCCCTTATTAGCTGGGCGACCTTGAGCGAGTTAACTTTCCCATGCAGCAACAGGGGTAACTCAGATCCTGGGACTTTGAAGTTAATGAGGCTTATTCACCCCTTAGAAAAAAGAGAGAGAGAAAGATCTCTTGGCTGTAGGCTGGTCATTGGGGATGATAACTGCATTGACTAGATTTAAGGCTGGTTTTGACAGAAACCTAGGAGAGGTACATATAAGCAGGAGAGAGAGTCTGTGTCCATCACAGTACTAACTAGCCCTTCCCTATGTGTGATCCCGTAAGCTGCCTCTGAGGACTTCCAAAGTCTTGCTTTCCATAGTGGGGAAAGCACTCATGACTGATGGGACAAGAGAGACTGACGGTTCTTGTCTAAGAGACGACAGAATAGCTGATGCATCACCTTCAAGGGGACCAGCTCAGGGCCAGAGAGGCACAGCTCAGCCATCAAGAGCTTGGGACTTCTCTGGGAGACTGTCAGTCGTTGGCACAAATGGCGGAGTGGTATCAGATGATAATAGAAATAACAAAGACTTCCAGGAGGTGGCATGTGATCAAGAAGCAATGGTACTGGAGGAAGAAGTCAAAGCTGCACTGAAGGAAGTGGTAGAAAGCAAGGCTCCAGGAACTGATGGGACACCCACTGAGATGTTTTGACAAATGGATGCAGCGCTGGAGGCGGCCCCCGGCTGTGCCGAGTCAGTTAGAGGCCAGCTGCCTGGCCGGCTGACTGGAGGAGATCCGTATTTGTGCCCATTCCAAAGAAAAGTGATCCCACAGAACGTGGAAATTATCAAGCAATATCATTAATACCACACACAAGTAAAATTTTGCTGAAGATAATTCAAAACCAGTTGCAGCAGTGTATTGACAGAGAACTTCCAGAGGTGCCAGCTGGATTCAGAAGAGGACGGGGAGCGTTGCTGATGTCAGATGGATCTCGGCTCAAAGCAAATACCAGAAAGGTGTTGAGCTGTGTTTTATTGATTACGCAAAAGCATTCGACTGTGTGGATCATAACAAATTATGGATAACCTTGAGAAGAGTGGGAATTCCAGAACACTTAATTGTACTCATGAGGAACTTGTACATAGACCAGGAGGCTATTGTTTGAATGGAACAAGGGGACACCGCACGGTTTAAAATCAGGAAGGGAGTATCCTTTCACCATACTTCTTCAGTCTGTATGCTGAGCAAATAATCCGAGAAGCTGGACTAAAAGAAGAAGAATGTGGCATCAGGATTGGAGGAAGATGCATTAACAACCTGTGGTATGCAGACGACACAGCCTTGCTTGCTGAAGGTGAAGATGACTTGAAGCCTTACTGATGAAGATCAAAGACTACAGCCTTCAGTGTGGATTGCACCTCAACATAAAGAAAACGAAAATCCTCACAGCTGGACCAGTAAGCAGCATCACGATAAATGGAGAAAAGATTGAAGTTGTCAAAGATTTCATGATACTTGGTTCTATAATCAACGCCAATGGAAACAGCAGTCAGGACATCAAAAGACTTACAGCATTGGGCACATCTGGTGCCACAGAGCTCTTTCAAGTGCTGAAGAGCAAAGAACCTCCTTGAAGACAAAGATGTGCCTAACCCAAGCCATGGTATCTTCAGTTGCCTCCTGTGCATATGGGAGCCAGCCAGTGCATAAGACCGACCAAAGAAGAGTTGATGCTTTTGGGTTGTGGGGCTGGCGAAGAATTCTGAGAGTGCCACGGCCTGCCAGAAGAATGAACAGATCTGTCCTGGAGGAAGTGCAGCCAGAATGCTCCTTAGAGGCGAGAGTGGCCAGACTTTGTCTGACCTACTTTGACGTATTATCACAAGGGATCATTCCCTGGAGAAGGATGTCATGCTTGGTAAAGTGGAGGGTCAGCAAACAAGGGGAGGGCCCTCGGCGAGATGCGTTGACGTGGTGGCTGCAGTGATGTGAGGCTGGTGCAGGACTGGGCAGCGTTCTGTCCTGTTGGACATGGGGTTGCTGTGACTCAGAGCTGCCTTGGCAGCGCCTGACAACAAAGAAGTAGAAAACTGCTGGAGGTGAAAAACAAACAGATACCAGAACGTGCAGCCGTGGACCGACAAGACGTAGACTTCACCTTTAGGCTCTGCCGAGTGCGATTTTGCAACACAGTCAGCTGAACCGGGTCACTGTCACTCGGGCTGAAAGTTTTTAATGTTGTGCTCCTTGGAACAGTCGAGGGCTGGCAGAGGCGGGTAAGGACGTTTCCAGTGGAAACAGCAGATGGAACCTTAGGGACCTTCTGCTCCTTGATTATATGGAAAGCTTGCTGTTGGGTGTCTACGCTTGAAACTTCTGTATAAGATTGTACTTGAAGCAAAGTTTCCTTTGCTTAAAAAGCAGGAAACAGAAGCCCAGTGGACTGGATAGAAACCGCTGATCCGGTTGGAAAAATGTAAAGGCCAACAGACATGTGAGGGCAGCCAGGACCCATCCCTGTGGGGACAGCAGGCAGCTCTCATCATCCTCCTGCTCTCTGAACTCAGTGCCACGATTGACCTGTCGGTGGGTGGCTCTGGCGACAACCCCTGGTGACACCCCGAAAAGCACTTGCATGGCCCGTCCTGCCTGCTCAGAACTTTATTAATGTTAGCGTTTCTTCAGTCAACAGCTCTACATAATCCTTTGCCACATGAAGGGTCTTAAACCCACCAGAACCTTAGGTCTCAGGAGACCATGACTGTGTGTTTTCTTTAAATCCTCTTGAGTGCTGCATACGTGAGCAGTACACTTGTCATGAGAGTGTGACGTACGCGAGAGACATGCTCGTCATGGAAGCGTTGAGCCCGTGATGGGCACATTCATCATATGAGTGTTGTGCACGTGACAGTCACACTCATCATGGGATGTTGTACGTGTGATAGACACGCTTGTCATGGCAGTGGTGGGTATGTGCCACACAGACTCGTAGCAATGTTGTGTACTGATCTTTTTCTGTAGAAATACCAAGTCCAAGCAAGGAGTTCCAGCTTCTCCCTCCTGACATCACCCCGAGATTCCTGTGATGCATCTGCCATATCACATGTTAGGAAGGCCCTGTAGGTACGCTGACTGGCTGAGAATTCTGGGAAGCGTGCCCAGTCAGCAGGTGTTTCCTTCCCTCCCACTTTCAAAGGAGCCTCTTGGTGATAAATGAGAAGTTGAATTCCAGCTGAGAGCAGTAACGCTTTATCTCCCATCCCTGCTTTCCACCTGCTTCCAAACACAAATGCAAGTGGTTGACTGATTAGCAGCTTAGGACATGTATATACCTAATCTGTACTTGCTTAAAAGGAGCTCTGGTGGTGTAGTGGTTAAGGCTGTAACCAAAAGGCCGGTGGTTTGAATCCCCCAGCTGCTCTGCAGAAGAAAGATGAGGCAGTCTGCTTCTGTAAAGATTCACAGCCCTGGAAACCCAGCGGGGCTCACTGTGAGTCACAAGCAACTTGATGGCAGCGAGTTTGGTTTGGTTTTTATATTTATTTGAATATTTAAAAAAAAAAACACCCACAATGGAAATCTTAAGACTTAACAAGTAACAGAGAAATAGATTTGTTCTAGATGTGACCTAAAACTGGGTTTGCTTTTTTTTTTGTAGGATGAGAGAATAAATCAACTTTCATGGACTAGCCTGCACATGTATTTAAGAGAAGAATTTGTCATATTAGATGTCATTTCCATAGTTAAGTAAGCATATAGGCATTCAACATCACAAAGTTATTTTCTGATTTTTTGCCAGAAAAATTTTGACGAAATCAGATAAACAAAGAAATGTCTTTGTGGAGACATTTTAGAAACCCTATGTGATGTCCTTTCTTGCTGTCTTTCAGTAAACCAGACATGTCCCGTCTGCGACTTGCTGCAGGCAGCGCGATTGTGAAGCTGGCCCAGGAACCCTGCTACCATGAGATCATCACACTGGAGCAGTACCAGCTGTGCGCATTAGCCATCAACGTAAGGGACATGGGGACTCATTCTTGTCTTTGTGGGGAAGGAATAGTAAAACCAATGGAAGATGTGTGCACCAGAAGCACTCAGAGTTCTGAAACTGTCACTTGGGTTTTGGGTTGCTGACATAGTATTTAGGAGCCCTGGTGGCGCATTGGTCAGCTGCTCGGCTGCTAACCTAGAGATTGGCAGTTCAAACCCACCAGCAGCTCCATGGGAGAAAGACTTGGCAATTTTCTGTAAAGATGACAGCTTTGGAAACCTTCTGGGGCAGATCCGCTCTGTCCTCTAGGGGCGCTGTGAGTCAGAATCGACTCCACGGCAGTGAGTGTGGTTTGGGCTTTGCTTCTGTGAAGATTGACAACCTGGGAAACCCTGTGGTGCGGTCCCACTCTGCCCTCTAGGGGCGCTGTGGGTCAGAATAGACTCCACGGCAGTGGGTGTGGTTTGGGCTTTGCTAGGGCAGCTCTACTCTGTTCTATGTGAGTTCATGGCAATAGTTTTCTTTTTTTTTGCCTTTTGTAAACATAGTATTTAGTTGCTAAAGCAAAGAAACAATACATATAAAAAAATCTTTATAAGACATGGTATATATTCATTTCTGATCAGAAGAATTCCTGTTACTCAGTGAATTAAATTTCAAATTATTAACAGTGATACTTCTCTATGGCTTCATACTCCAGTCTTACAGGTTTCGTATTAGAATGATGATGTATTGGAGCTATGTGCACCTCGTTTTATTGCACCTCGTTTCACTGCACTTCGCAGTACTCTGTTTTTCACATACTAAACGTTTGTGGCATCCCTGCATCCCGCGTGTCTGTTGATGTCATTGCTCCAACAGCACGTGCTCGCTTTGTGTCTCTGGGTCCCGTTTTGGTCGCTCTCACAGTACTTCAGACTTTTCCATCACGCTGTTGCACACTTCATAGAACAGTCTGTCTTCCGTAGAACTTCTATATGCACTGGGGCGCCAGCAGTGGTGCGGCACTTGCTTAGGTGCAGTGGTCTGGAACCAAAGCCACAATATCTCTGAGGTAGGCCTGTATTCACTTTCTAAATTTTTAGCATCCTTGAGAAAATTTAAAAAAAGGATTTGATGAAAGTAAATATGGTAAGTGTGGTGTTCTGGCGGGAGCTTTTCACATGCAATTTGGGTATCTTACACCTGCTGTTCCATTCCCTCACAGAAGTCGTCATACATAGGAAAACATAGTGTTTCTCAAAATACTTTCAGGGACCGTTGGATTTCTCTTGGTTTCCTTCCTTCTACAGGTTATTTAACAATTACTGCTAATGTGTATACTCTTTAGGCCCAAACAGTCATCTTATTTTAAAATTCTAACGATTCTGTCCATTTCTGGTTCCTCCGTCTTTAACACCGCTGATCCACATCCTGGTTACGCTTTGCTTTACTCGTGTTTTTGTTCAGATAGTAAACAGATTTTGAGAAATGAAATTTTTGGGGAACCAGTAACTTCGTGGTTCAGTTTTCCAGTTTAATTTTGAGAATAATCCTATTTGGTAAGAAAGTGAAAATTATTTAATAATTGTATGTTAAATTTCTTAGAAGAAGAATTACCTACATAGTTGTTTTTTTAAATATGAGTTGACGGTTCTGCTGTCTTGATTGGCAATACTGGCAGTCCACTGATGTGTCACACGCTTGGTCCGATACTTCTTGAGATACTGGTGCTGTCATTTTTGAAGGAGAAACTTAAAAACCAAGGAGGTATGGAAGCGTAAAAGAGCCGGGCCTTGCCTGACGCTTACTGGCCGTGATCTGCGTGCGCCGGCTTCCCCCATGGGCAGGAGCTGTGCTTGCTGAGCTCTGTGGACTTCCCCTCCCACCACAGCATTTGTGTTACGTTGCTACCTCAGTCACCAGCCACCCAAGATGAAGTTAAAATTGCTTCAGTTTTGAGATTGTTTTGGAATTCTGTTGAGTGTGCAACATTCTCCTAATTATCAGCCTCTTCCCAGAACTTAACAAATATACCAGGTTGTACCCCATTCTGTAATAATCCGAGAAGCTGGACTATATGAACAAGAACGTTGCATCAGGATTGGAGGAAGGCTCATTAATAGCCTGCGATATGCAGACAACACAACTTTGCTTGCTGAAAGTGAGGATGACTTGGAGCACTTACTGATGAAGATTAAAGACTACAGTCTGCAGTATGGATTACACCTCAACATAAAGAAAACAAAAATCCCCACAGCTGGACCAATAAGCAGCATCATGATAAACAGAAAAGATTGAAGTTGTCAAAGACTTCATTACTTGGTTATTACCTGATTCTATTCGGAAGGAAGGTTGGGCAATCCTACTTCCGTAGTGATACTGCTTCGGAAACCCAAGGAGGGGTCGCTATGAGTCGGGGCCGACTCGACAGCACATAACAACAACAACAACAACCTGATTCTATAATCAGCGTCGGTGGAAACAGCAGTCAAGACATCAGAAGCCGTATGGCATTGGGCAAATCTGTTGCAAAAGACCTCTTTCAAATGCTGAAGAGCAAAGATACCTCCTTGAAGACTAAGATGTGCCTAACCCAAGCCATGGCATTTTCAATCACCTGCTATGTCTGTGAGAGCTGGACAGTGAATAAGGAAGACTAAAGAAGAGTTGATGCTTTTGAGTTGTGGTGCTGGTGAAGAATGCCGAAAGTCCCATGGGCTGCTAAAAGAACTAACAAATCTGTCCTGGAGGAAGTGCAGCCAGAATGCTCCTTGGAAGCGAGGATGGCCAGACTTCTTCTGACTTACTTTGGTCATGTTGTTAGAAGGGACCATTCTCTAGAGGAGGATGTCACGCTTGGTAAAGTGGAGGGTTGACGAAAGAGGGGAAGGCCCTTGACAAGATGGCTTGACACCGTGCCGGCACCAATCGGCTCAGACATAGTAGGTGTCGTGAGGCTGGTGCAGGACCGGGCAGCGTTTTGTTCTGTTGGACATAAGGTCGCTATGAGTTGGAGACAACGTGACAGCACACAACAGCCACCACCACTGCCTTCTGAATACGCCTTTTCCCCAGTTCTGCTTTCTCCTCAAGGCGTGTGCCTGTCACCTCTCTTTAGACCTCTGAGCGTCCAGGAGGAGTCATCTGCTTCTTTGTCTCTCTTACCCCTTCACTTTTCAGACTTTCCCATCTGCCCTTGTGGTTTCCTCAAAACGCTTTCTCATTGGCACCCAACCTGGTTATCTCTTCCATCGTCTTCCATTTCATCAGCACCGCTCATTGCTTCTTGCTTTGTTTCACTCATCCCACTTCTTCTCTCTGTTTCTTGTTTCCATTCCTCCTCCTCTCCTAAGCCTTCCTACCTTCTGACCTTTGTCTTTGGGCAAATGCTGTCTTTTGATCTCAAAGCATTCAGTGTTCTAAGAAATGTGTACCTTCTTGGTGTTATTGTTCACCTCATAGACCTGTCTGTTGTTTGACTGAAAGTTGAGTCATGGGAATGAGTTTAGTTCCAGATACCTCAGGGTGTCTGAGGGCCACAGTCTTAGGAGTTCCACCAGTCTCTATCAGACCAGCAAGCCTGGTCTTTTTGTTTTTTTTAATTGAGTTGTATTCCACAATTTTCTCCCTCTCTATGTGTAGGACCTTATATCATAATCTGTTCAGTGTGGTCAGTGGTGGTAGCTGGGCACCATCAAAGTCTTCTGGTTCCACAGATGCGGAGGCTAGGGTTGCATGATCCATTAGTCCTTTGGACTGCTTGTTTCCATACACGTTTGACTTTCTTCACTCTTCTTTGCTCTGGACGGGGAGAGACCAGTAGTTGCACCTTACACGGCCATCCTTTTTGAAACTCTCTCCTTTGGGTTGTCTCCTGATTTTTGTCTTACTTCTTGGACTAGGTTTTCTGATTCCTCCTCTCCTTCGGCGTGTGTTCCCCAGGAGTCTGTCCATAGCCACCTTCTCTGTTTGCATATTCTTCTTTGCCGTCTCATCTTCTATATAAGGAACTCCTGTGCCAGCAACATTAATTTCGTTTGCTTTCTGAGTGCCTGGTTTCATTGCAGAAACTCAACACAAATTTCAAGCATTAGTCCCCAAATGCAAGACTGCATTTGTGATCTTCCCACAGCTCGTCTTTCCCAGCAGGCAGAGCCTCAGGGAATGTTACGTGACTCTGAATGCAATTCTCAGTCCAGAACGCACGGCCCCTGTTGTACCTGCTTGTTCTTGCACCCCATTGCCGAGGGCCCCAGTCTGCCTTGTGCTCTCACTGAGATCTTTCTGGTCACACCCTCTTAACCATTCCCGCTGCTGTGACTATCATTAGTTCTCACCTAGACTGTTAGGAGACTTTCTCTATTACCGGATGAATGTCCCAATGAGCAAAACGGCATTGATCGTGTTATTTTCCTGTTCAAAACTTTCTAGGGCTCAGACTTGTAGGAGAAAGAAATGATGCTAGTTTTCAGCCTGACCCCCAAGCCCCTAGTATTTGATCCCAGATGAGATTTACAAACCCCACTAAGCATACCGCCACCCTCCCACCTTCCTTCCAGTGAAGGTGAGCCCGAGTGTCTTTCAGGTTCCTTGTTCTGCACTTTCTTGAATGTTAATTCTCACCCTCACCTTTCCACACGTCCCAACCCAAACCTTCTTGCGTCGACTCAGACACAACCTTCTTCACAAACCTTCTTGGACTCGTAGCTGTTTCCTAAGTGTTGTTCTGCTGGCCTCTTTCCCACACTGCACCTTGTTTTGTGCTTAGTTACGTACGCACACCTCCATGGTACAGCTCTCCGGGCCAGGTTTAGGCTCTTCCAAGGCAGGGCTGCATCTTGCTGGCCCTTGTCGTGTATTTGAATGGAAGGCAGATCTGGAGGAGTGGGGACTCAATCACAGGAATCTTGACGTAGCGCAGTGATCCCTTAGGTATTTCAGAATTTGAATTCACGTCATCATCAAACCTTCACTCAGCATGGGCACGCGTTGTGCACTGTCGTAGGTTCAGGAGATACACAGACGGGTAAGTGGTGGGACTGCCCACAGGAAGCTAGCAACCTCTAGGGAGAAACTGAACGTAAGTGGTTATAATATAATGTAATACACAGAGGGACTGAGCGACACACGGATCGCTGGATGCTGTTCCGAAGGAAAGTCATACCGGAAGAGAGTCCGGAGAGAGAGTGTGCTTCTGATGCAAAGCAGCATTCATTGGATCATCAGTAGTGAATAAAAGCTGTGATGGGAATTTTACAGTCAGTAGTGAATAAAGCTTCAATTGATCTTTTATCTTGAGGCTGAAAACTTTGTAGTATTAAATACCATGTGTGCTGGCTTGCTCTCTCCCTGTGGTTAACCAGTCACTGGTTATCATTATAGTCTTGAAAGAATCGAACATGTGCATTGTTGACAGTGTGGTGTTCCTGATGGAATCGTATTCCTAGATGTGCCCGTTACGTCCCGGTAAATCTATAGCATCGTGCAAAGGATGTTACAAAGATGCAGAGACCCTGGAAGACCTCCTCAGCCCCCAGTAGTATCTGTCCTCATGCTGCATTCAGATGCTTCCTCTTTTGTGGTACCCCTGGTGTCCTCATTTTTGTCATTTCCCTCTTCTTCAGCTGTTAACTCTTCTGTGATTTGACAGTTCCTCTCCAACGCAGCTTGAATGACTGTGAACTTCTACGGTTCCACCATGATCTCGGGTTGACCTTGTAAATACTGTGTGTTGCCTGGATGGAGCCTGACCTGGTAGTGAGAGCAGAACAGATGCATGATGGGGGCAGGCAGGAGGCGTATCTAAATAGGGCACGGTATTTGAGCTGAGTTTAACTTGGGAACACTTGACTTGACATGGAGCCTGAGCTGGCAGTGAGAGATGGACAGACGTATTGCCTTGGGGGTGTGTGTATCTAAGTAGGGAAGGGTATCCGAGTGGAGGTTAACTTTTCAGTGAATGGTCTGTTCATTTGTGACTGTATCTGTGGTATGTTGACTTTCTCTTTCTTATGCAGCTCATTTATAATTGTGTATTTTCATAATAAACATTTGGATAACAAAGAGCTCCCTCATCCACAAGAGGGAAGCCTGGATCACCTCTGGCCTTGCTCTTTGTAGCGTGACAGCACATTTACTGTTGTCACCTGCCAACACTTCGATTCTGACTCATAACAGACCATGTTTCTGGAAACCCTAGATGACTTTCTTCAAAGCAGGTATTTGGTGTTTTAATAAGCTGAAGTTTAAATTACATCCAAGAAGATACACAAAGATTCAAAGACCAAGGCAAAATCTCGCGAACTAGGTTTTTTAAGAACAAAATCCCAATGGTCTTTATGGATGGAAGCAGCATCAAGGCCCAGTGATGGGCACTCACCATTTTGTGTGTGAATGGGGGGGTACAGTGCTGTCATGAAGATCTTCCTTGGTCTTCTGAGAGTGTTGGGCTGTGTGCCAGGTGTTAGAGACACGGGAACGATGACATGGCTCTGGTCTCGAGGAGACCAGGCCTGAAGGACGAGACAATTTTATTCATCCACTGCTGAGCTGAGTTGGCGCACCATGCCGTGGGGGCGCAGGCTGGATGCGGGATGCTGTCCCTGCTGGCTCTCTGGAGGATGCTGAGCTGTCTTCAAAGGCGAGTGGGAGTCCTCTGGGAGGTGGGGGTGGCGGCCCAGGGAGGAACTTGGGCACCGAGTTCACAGCTCACAGCTGAGCATGGTGCTTCGATTGGACTAGAAGTAATTTGGTGTTTTGGAAATTGGTAATGCTCACCCTCAGAGTTATGCGTTGTAATCTGAAGAGTGTTTTAAGTGATAGAGCTAAAATGTATCTATTGGGCAGCGTTGTCTCGCTCAGTAAATGAAAAGGCTCGGTCTGAAACAATCAGCGTGAAAGCTGCTTTTACCACATCCTGTCTGTGTAAACGAGGAAGGGCTGGTATTTACTATTTCTGTTTTAAAAGCACACCCAGCTGAACAAGCTAAACAATTATGTATGTCTAAATGGAGAGTGTATCCAAGATCATATATAGGGTTGGCAGACAATGGGCCTCTCGAAGAGTATGAAGGGATGGACACTGGGAGGAGGTAACTATGGGGAGGAAGTGGGAGGGGAGCTGCTGCATTGTAAATTTTGGTCAATGACATGAGACAAAGTATATGTGAACTGCTGTATGAAAAGTGAATTTACTCTGTAAATCTTCACCCAAATCCTAAAAAAAAAAAATGCATGGAAACAACTAGTGGACCTTGCAAACGTAGCCAACTTGACCATGAGACCGTAAAAACTGGATGGTGCCCAGCTACCACTGTCAACCATTCAGAAAGGGATCGGTGCAGGAAATCCTGGATAGAGTGGGAGAGAAATTTGGAACAAAACTCAAAATCATAAAAAAGACTTGCTGGTCTGATAGAAACTGGTGAAAGCTCTAAGACTATGGTCCCTAGCCACCCTTCAGTCCTGGAATTGAACTTACTCCCATGGTTTCCAGCCAAACAATAGGCAAGCATATAAGGTGAACATTTGTACCAGATAGGTACACTTCTTAGAACAATCGATCATGGCAGATCAGAAGGGCAGTATTTTCGCAGGGAGATAACTCATAGGACAAGAATACATAGGAAAGAAGGACACAGCGAGAAGTTAACCACAGGGAGGAAGTTGGAAGAGCACTGTTACATTATGGGTATTGCAATCACTGTCATGAAACACAATGTTTATAAACTGCCGTATGGAAAATAAATTTGCTCTGAAAACTTGCAAAAAAAAAAAAAAGCACACCCAGCCTTTGCTGGCACCTGTGACTGGTGGGCTTTAGGATCCCATGGACCCAAGCCTTCCACTGCTCGTGGGTCACAGCATCGCTGGCTTGTGCGTGGGGCCAGGTCCCCATCCACTGACCTGTCCGCGGGCCATTGCCGGCCTTCTTCTCGGCAGCTGGGCTGACACCGGCCACTCTCTCTTCACAGGACGAGTGCTACCAAGTAAGACAGGTGTTTGCCCAGAAACTGCACAAAGGCCTCTCGCGGCTGCGGCTCCCGCTGGAGTACATGGCGATCTGCGCGCTCTGTGCCAAGGACCCTGTGAAGGAGAGGCGGGCGCACGCCAGGCAGTGCCTGGTGAAGAACATCAACGTGCGGCGCGAGTACCTGAAGCAGCACGCGGCGGTGAGCGGTAAGCACCACCCCTTGCGCCTGCGCGGGACCACGGGGCACTCGCAGAGTGACGCAGCTCTGGGAACTTCCAGCTTAGTGGGCTCCGTCCAGCTAAGTGAGACGTGGCTGTTTTTTAGTAACAACTCTTCATTGAAAATGGTCATTTTTAAGTGTGTTGTTGTTGTTGTTGTTATGTGCTGTCCAGTCGACTGGACTCATAGCGACCCCTCCTTGGGTTTCCGAGGCGATATCACTGCGGAAGTAGATTGCCCAGCCTTCCTCCCGGGGAGTGCTGGTGGGTTTGAACCGCTAGCCTTCTGGTTAGCAGTCAAGTGCCTTAGACGCTGCGCTACCAGAGGGTATTTGGCTATCCACTTGGATCTTTTATGTCCGTGAGTAAGTGCCCCAGGAGAGGAAACCCGAGCCGGGAGGGGCCTGGGACGGCAGGGTGAAGTCGGTCCCTTTCCTCTTGTGGTTGAAGAAAAGTCTGAGTCTTGGCTCTTGGTTTAACCCCGTGTTGCTGATGTGAGCCTCAGGTCCTGGTGGCCTGTTTATGGATCTGCTCCCGTCCCATGCAGGGCACACGCACACTTCTCTGACGCGTACATCTGTATGGATCTGCTCACGTTGCCCTCTGATGTGTATGTCTGCGTATGGCCTCAGCCATGTTAGCGTGTGTCTCTGACGTGGACATGTGAGTGGGTCTGCTCGTGTCACCCAGCCGTGTTTGCTTGTGCGTCTCGCTGACTTATACGTGCATGTATGCATCCGCTTTGTCGCCCCAGCCATGTTAGCACGTACATCTCTCTGACATTATGCCGTGTTTAACAGCATTCAGTCTAGTCAGCTGTCTGGTCAAGAAATTGTGAGCATCCTTCCGGTGTTATTTCTCCGCTCATCTGTCCCCAGGCCCTATCAGTTCCTCTCCAGGTGTCCCAAACACATGTTCTCTACTCTCCTCCCCTGTCGCATGTCAATGGGGTGATCAGAGTGTTCCCCTGCCTGGGCCCTGTCCCTGCCTGGGCTACAGCCTCCCGACTGCTATTAACACCCACTTGGCCCTGCCCCACCCCCAGCATCAATGTGCTTCACCCCTTATTCTCACACGGTGAGGTGGAGACTCCCCTGGCGTTAGTCTCCCGGTGTCTAGCTCTCTCTGACCACACTCCACTGTGAACTTGGTGTCCCTGTACCCAGGAGTGCTTGGCACACTGCAGCCGTCTCCTTGGCTCCGTTGTCACCTGTCTAGAAATCACCTCCTACCTTCCAGACCTGTAAGCAGGCACACTGAACCAAGGCGTGCTTTGCACCAGCCAGACTGGTTTAGATAGAAGCTGGATGTTCCCACGTGACCCCAACCCCCTTGCTCCCTATCCCCACGTCCTGCCCCCGTCTGCCTGGTGCTACTTGTGTGGGTGCAGGAGAGTGCCTCATCCGTGAGTGTGGGTGTGATGGCGCTCACTTCCTGTGCTTGTGGTGGCAACTGAACAAATCCTGGGGCTGGAGCACCGTGCCTTGCCAAGCAGGACCACTGTCTGCTTTTCTAACCTCCTCAGTGCGAGGCACGCCAGTGGCACAGCGGCACAGCGGTTAAAGCACTTGACTGCTAACCAAAAGGTCAAAGTCACCAGCCACTCTGCAGGAGAAGGATGTGGCAGTCTGTTCTCATAAAGATCCCAGCCTTGGAAACCCCATGGGGCGGTCCCACTATGTCCTCTAGGGGCGCTGGGGGTCAGAATCGACGACCCGGCAGTGGGTGTGGTTTGGGCTTTGCTTCTGTGAAGATTGACAGCCTTGGAGACCCTGTGGGGCAGTTCCACTCTGTCCTCTAGGGGCGCTGTGGGTCAGAATCCACTCCGCAGCAGTGGGTATGGTTTTTATTGATGCATATGATATTATTAGACCAGGCAGTGTTTTATTCTGTTGTACATAGGGTTGTTATGAGTCAGAGCTGATGGCACTTAAAAACAACATGATATTATTATCCTTCAGTTTGAATATCTGCTATAAAACTTGATTTTCAGAATAGGAAATATACAAGGAATTGTCTTTCTGAGTATTCTTCATTAGTGTTTGTTAGGATTATAACCGACTTCTGTTAAGGGATGTGCTGATCTCAGCAAATTTGAGAAAAGAATATTTGCACTGAGAAGGTGTTTCTTTGTTATTTAAAATTTCCTAGAAACTTAGGTGTTTCTTCTTATCTGCCCTTCTGTAGTTAGACATGGTGTTAGTTTCTGCTTCCCAGTTTTGGACCATGCTGACTGCAAGGTTCTGTTAGAAGTTCTTCGTTTTGTCAGCAGCTTATAAGAGAGTGTTAAACATTAGGGTCACTCATTGTAACGGGAAAACTAGATATTGAGTCTGTCGGTTGTAAATCTCGCTCCTTTGGGTTGCTTTTTCCATATGCACTTGGAAACTGAAACACTTGCCCGTGTGGTAGGGACTGGGGCCCGTGTAGCAGGCGTCGCAGGCATGCGTGTGATGCTGGGTGCTGGAGAGGAGCTGTGTGTAACTCATGCTGTGCCGCAGCGCCAAGGGCTGCGGGCTGTTCTTCTCCTGGTGACGGTGTGGCAGCCGGTGGGGGATGAGAGATGTCAAAGAGACAACAGAGTGAACACAGATTTGGTTTTCTAACCCAGATTTTTGTTGTTTTTTTCTTTTTCAGAGAAATTACTGTCTCTTCTACCTGAGTACGTTGTCCCGTATACCATCCACCTCTTGGCACATGACCCGGATTACGTCAAAGTGCAGGATATCGAACAGCTCAAAGATGTTAAAGAGTGAGACTTTGGGGCCCCATTCCCATGTTTGTTTGAGAGTTGTTTTTCCCTGGGCTCCTAGCTGGATCGGTTACCTTCGTGTTGGACGTCCTTCAGCACTGAGGGCTCTGTTCGTCCCTTCCATGGCTGTCTTCCTTGGCTTTCTCCCTCCCACCTTCCCGGTGCTTCCTCAGCTGTTTGTCCTGCCCTGAACTGAGCACACTGCGCCCTGGGTTGCACTGCCAGTCTGCAGAGACGCAGTCGGCCAGCTTCCGTTCCAGTTTCATCATTTCCCACTTCCTCCTGCAACTCTGTGCACACACCACGAGTCGCCCTGTACCTTACTGCACTGAGTAACTGCCTTCCTCTGTAGGCAGAGAGAAGGCTCTCGTTTAATAACGGATCAAGTGGAGAACTGGGGAATCCTTCCTCTTCCTGCTTCCTTGGCAGTACTGTGCTTAACGTTTGTGACAGTTGTAGGTCTTGGCCGATGAAGAGACTGAAGAGACTGGACAGGGCCTGTGTGTGGACTTAACAAACCTTCCTGAGACCAGCACAGTTCTTTAAATACATGTGAAGACCTGGTCTTCTTTCTCTCACCATGAAGAGTGACAGAAATTATTAGGCCTTTAGTGTCCTGTTAAAGGGAAATAGCTCTTGCTTTTTTTTTTTTTTAATAACTTTTTTTCCGAGGCAGTATCACTACGGAAGTAGGATTGCCCAACCTTCCTTCCGAGGAGTGGCTGGTGGGTTTGAACCGCCAGCCTTCTGGTTAGCAGTCAAGTGCCTTAGCCACTATGCTACCAGAGCTCCCAATAACTTATTTTTTAGACAAATAATTGGAATAACATATTCTTTGGAGTTGAGTAGGCATTTTTGGCTGGTTTTCTATAGAGGCCCCATATAGCTACTAATAAAGTGGGCCACCCCCAAAGAACTTACCAGACATGTGAGGTCTGAAAGCTGGTTTTCACCCCGACAACACTTGGCGCTCTCTCTCCCTTCTCCCGTTACTTTTTCCCTCTGCATGTCAACTGTCACTCTGTCCCTTTCTGTCTATAACAGAACAGCAATGCACTTTGGGATCTTTATGGAATAGAATTGTATGCAATTAACTGTAAAACCAGGGTGTGGAAACTCTCTCTTGATTTTCCTCTGGTAAAGCGAAGGCTGCCTGTCTAGTTGTCAGCTGTTACCTTTTTCCTCTCAGAGTTTTGGATGAAGATTCCCAGTGATCGACGAGGGTGGCCACGTTCCCTCGCGGAATCCCGATCGGGACGGTAGTCCGTCGAGGCTGTTTGAGGCGTCCTTTATGTGTGGCCCACAAACCCTGCTGGCCGCCTTCCCCCATCATTCTCCTCACCATTAATGTCCCTTTGCACCCTGCTTCCATGGGACAAGCAATGAGACTCTGCAGAGGGGTCTGATGAGCTCACACCTGGCTGCCGACCTGTCAGAGAACATCTGAGGACATTTTGTCCCTCTGCTGCTCCATAGCTGTCTCTTGTCCGCTTTCCCCCGGGGCTTGTAATCTCAATACATTTTATTGTTACTGGAGTTCTTGGGTCGGCATTTAACAGAGGATCTTTTTTCTTCTGTATTTCTTTTTTTTAGGTGTCTTTGGTTTGTTCTGGAAATACTAATGGCTAAAAATGAAAATAACAGTCATGCATTTATCAGAAAGATGGTAGAAAATATCAAACAAACAAAAGATGCCCAAGGACCAGATGATGCAAAAATGAACGAAGTATGTGATTCTTTGGTTCCGTGTTGACGTAAGCAGTTGGGTGTTGGGTGTGGTATTGTAGATGACAGCAGTCTTTTCCAGCCTTGAGATGTGCACACTTCGGGTCATAGCGGGTGGCTGCTCTAGAGTCTGAGAAGGCAGCCGAAGGCCCTACTTTGTTTTATTCTGTTTTGTGTTGATGCCTTTGCAGAAGCTGTACACGGTGTGTGATGTCGCCATGAACATCATCATGTCAAAGAGCACCACATACAGTCTTGAATCTCCTAAAGACCCGGTCCTCCCAGCACGTTTCTTCACCCAGCCTGACAAGGTAGGGTTTGGGGGACTCGTTTGCGGAAGTTGGAGTAAAACGTGTTTCCAGCGCCAGGCTGTAGGACAACCCAGATGGGTCAGTGTCCAGAGGTGGCCCGCTGCTGGAGGCAGTGAGTGGTTGCCACAAGTCCTAAATACATGGGTCAGGACCAGAAAGGGGGCCAAGGTGCAGGGTGCCGGTACGTTTCATAGCTGAGTGAGGGTGGTCTAGAGCATGTGCTGAGAGGGTTAAAGCGGCCTGTGAGCCCAGGGAAAAGCTGACCGAAGCACAGGTCTGTGGGTCGGTGGCCACTGAACAGGAGGAGGATGTTGGGGTGCGGTCTGCGGTCACAAGCCCACAAATGTCCTTCACAACTGAGGGTAAGGAGGTAAGCAGAGAACAGACCCTGGGAGCACCCGTATGTCCCTAACTGTCCTTCGCAAAACTCGACTGCTGTTCATAGCGCCCACGGGTGGTGTTCCAGGACCCGTCCTAGAGATGCCTAGGGCACCTGAGCACATTGAGTCATGGAGAGTTCTGGAAAGACCGAGACCTTTCCCCAGGCAGAGGGCCAGGCAGGGTTGCCCCGGCTCTCACTGACTCTGCGAGACCCCGTGTACAGGGAGGTTTGGAGCAGCCCTGGGGCTCACCCTGCAGCTAGAGGGGCTGCCTGGGTGGGGGCATCCCATGGGTGTGAGCAAGATTGCAGTGGGTGATGAGACCCCTCCCCGGAGGGTGTCGTGGCAGACACTGTTTCTGATGGGTTCTGGCCTAGTGGCGCGCAGGTGCACTTTGTTAACCTAGGTCCCAGCACCAGGTTAGTGTAGGCTTAGACAGTACTTAAAATCAGTGACTGAGTACTAATTGACTGCTTCCTTTTCCCTTGCTCGTAGAACTTCAGTAACACCAAAAATTATCTGCCACCAGAAATGAAATCGTTCTTCACTCCCGGAAAAGTATGTCTCGAAAAGCACTTTTCATTTTGATTCTGTGGTAGTTTGTTTCGGTGCGTGTGCTTGATGGACACAATTGTGCTGTTTTGTATTCCTTGAAAAATGTGTGTCTCAGTAGGAAAAAGAAGTCACTGTATTTTATTTACTAGCAATAAAGTAGTTTACTGTATACAAGCTAGAAGGAGCTCTGGTGGCATAGTGCCTAAGGCATCTGACTGCTAACCAGAAGGCCGGCACTTCAAACCCACCAGCCACTCCTCAGAAGGAAGACTGGGCAATCTACTTCTGTGAAGATTTACTGCCTTGGAAACCCAGGGAGGGGTAGCCATGAGTCGAGATTGACTCAGTGGCAGTGAGTTTGGTTTGATTTGTGGTGCTTAAGGGTAGGCCCGTTTTTCATGATTTGTGTGAAAATACTTGGACAGAGAGGTGTATGTTACGAAAAGGAATTCTGGTGGCGTAGTGCCTAAGGCATTTGACTACTAACCAGAAAGTTGGTGGTTCAAACCCACCAGCCACTCTGCGGAAGGAAGACAGGGCAGTCTACTTCCGTAAAGATTTACCACCTCGGAAACTCAGTGGGGGTCACTATGAGTCAGACCCGACTAGATGGCAGTGAGTTTGGTTTTTTTGGTTTTGATGTATGTTATGACGTGTCAGTTTCTTTTAGTTTTCATTAGAGACTCAACGTCTCTCCTTTCAGCCTAAGACCACCAACGTTCTCGGGGCTGTGAACAAGCCGCTGTCGTCGGCAGGGAAGCAGTCGCAGACCAAGTCCTCCCGGATGGAGACCGTGAGCAACGCGAGCAGCAGCTCGAACCCCAGCTCTCCCGGCAGAATCAAAGGGCGGTACGTACCGGGGAACATATCAAAGGGCGGTACGCACAGGAGAACAGAACCAAAGGGCAGTACGTCCAAGGAACAGAACCAAAGGCCTGTACATACCTGGGAACAGAATCAAAGGGCCGTATGTACCGGGGAATAAATCAAAGGGCTGTATGCCCTGGGGAACAGAACCAAAGGGTGGTACATGCCAGGGAACAGAACCAAAGGGCGGTACGCACCGGGGAACAGAATCAAAGGGTGGTACGCACTGGGGAACAGAACCAAAGGGCCGTACATACCAGGGAAGCAGAACCAAAGGGTGGTACGCACCATGGAACAGAATCAAAGGGCGGTATGTACCAGGGAATAGATCAAAGGGCAGTACGCACCAGGGAACAGAACCAAAGGCCGGTACTCACTGGAAACAGCCGTCATGTGTATGCTACCTCAGGGCTAAATAATCTCAGAGGATATGGCCTAAAGCACCGCACGGCCGAACAGTCACCTGTGACGGGAGTGCCTTCGACACGTTCGTGTTTGGTGCTCGCTCGTTGGGGGTGTGGTCTCAGCCATTTGTGTGTTAGCTTGTTTGGGTGAGGTGTGTTGGGGGCGTTGAGCTACTCCCACCCTGAGTGTCCAGTGACCGTGGAGCCGCTCGCTCCTGGTCCTTCGGTGCGGTGCGGTGCAGGGCAGTCATTTCACAGGACAAGTGGGCGAGGGCAGGAGTCTCCACAACACGTTCCTGCCTGACGGGGACAAAGGGTACAGCAGTGTCAGGGTGTCTCCCCCAAGAGATTGGTGTTCACATTTGCTGGCGTGTTGCTAGGAAGGCCTGCTTAACATGCGGTAGCACAGCAGTGTCTATAGCCACCTGGTGGAAGGGGCAGATAGTCAGACTCTGGTGTAGTTTGCATTTTTTTTTAAGTGCTTTCAAATTATGCTCTGGAGGAGTTTTTTTATTAAGAATGGAAAAAAAAAAACCCAATTTGCGCTTTGACTGCTTTTAGCACAAGCACTCAGTGAGCTGTTTGTTGGCAGCAGAGTGTCGTTCAGGACTGAGTGCCACCACGCACGGATGTTACCAAGTCGTTCTGGAAGATCACGCTGGTGTCGACATTGTTGGTGACCAGTCAGTAAAGAAAGGAAGAGACGTTGCAAAAGCTGTCTGCAGTGTAAGGAGGCCCGTTGTTTAATTGACCTGGCTGCTCTAGGAGGAGAAGCAACTGCACTTGTAACTTGTTCATTTTGGATCCTCCTGGATGGATTTCATGCCCAGTGTTAGTGGCTAATTCCCAAGTGACCTTTGCTGATTCTTGTCAGTTAGACATTCTCTAATGGAAGGCTTTGTGCTTCACGTGATCAAAAACGTTTCTGTCAATTTGTTTCCTTTAGTATTGGCGTTTCTCCTTGAGTTCCCAGTTGTAATTAAAGACACTCTACTCTGTCCCACCATCTGAGGGCCTCGGGCTGTCTCCGACTCTCTCTGTGATGTATGTCTATCTGGTTGCTGAGTTGTGCCAGTTTTTTCTTCACAGTGTTTTATCTTTTTCTTTTCTGCTGTCGTAATTTAGTTCATCTTCTTGAGTTACCGTGGCATTTGTTTGCTCGTTTGTATTCTTCCCACCGAGTGTGTCACTGCCGGCAAAGCTCTGAAATGACATTGTGGGAGCTCTGGTGGCGCAGTGCCTAAGGCACTTGACTGCTAACCAGGAGGCTGGTGGTTCAAACCCACCAGCCACTCCTCAGAAGGAAGGTTGGGCAATCTACTTCGGTGGTGATACTGCCTCAGAGACCCAAGGAGGGGTTGCTATGAGTCACATCCAACTCGATGGCAGTGAGTTTGGTTTTGTGTGTGTGTGGTCAGGTCACACCCTTGCTCAGAACTTGTTGGCTCCGCCTGTTGACAGAATGGAGCCTTAACCTCAGAGCTCGTTGTCGGCGTCCCTTGTCTACAAAATGGAGACTCGGCCTTAGTCTTCAGCTCCTGCTGTCAGGATGGTTCAGTGTGTTGCCCTGGGCCTGTCTCCCTTTGCTGCTGAAAACAGGGGCCTCCAGCCTATCACTGAGAGTTTCCCGACTGCACTTTTCAGAATATTCTTCAAACACTTGTTTTAGCTTCTGGCTACCCTGCTTAACTCTTTTGGCCATGGTACAGTTGAGGTACCTACCAGGAAGTAAGGAAATTGTTGAGTCGGCAACTGGATATGTGAGTGCGGGACTCATGGCAGCTGTGGGACCAGAGAGTGAGATTTGGGGTTCAACAGCATTTGAAAAACAATAAATGGTTTTGGTTTTTGTTTAAAAAAAATAATATCTTGCTATGTTTTTGGTGAACAGGATAGGTTCCCATTCAGTAGTTTCTACATAAATTGCTCAGTGATTGGCTGGGTTCTCTCAGTTCTGGGCCTTCTCGGGATCCTGTTCTGGGGGTTCCGTTTGCACTCATCAGGTTTCCCTGCCCCCTCACACACACTCTCCCTCTGTTTTTTTAAAGTCATTGCTGATCGTTTGGTCTCATGACGTGATTTTTTTAAAGGAGCATAGTACTCGCAGGTGACATTCATTATTTTTTAAGCCAGTTTATTATTTAGGTACAAGGTGACCTCAGGTTCAAGGTCCAAGGTTGGAAGAGTGTCTTAGGGCAGTGGCCTTGGGGGGAGGCCTCCAGTCTCAGTGTGTCCAGTAAGTCTAGACTTTTTAACAATTTGAGGTTCTGCTCCACATTTTTCTCCCAACCTGTCGGAATCGATCTCCTGTGACCTGATCAGAGCAGGCAGTAGTGATGGTGGGGCACCATCTAGTTCTTCTGGTCTCAGGGTAGGTAAGGCATGGTTTGAGTAGACTGTCCTGTGGAGTAATTTCTTCAGATACAAACAATTTGTAAAGCTAGGTACGGATGAGATCACCCAGGACAGGTTAGCACATGTCTTTCTGGGAGTATGTACTGTTCGTTCCACAAGGATTTATGGAGGTTACGGTGCTGGGCATTGATCCAAGTGCCCAGTACAGTGGTGAGTGAAACTGACAAGAGCACGCTAGCTGGGAAAGTAGCCAGTAAATGATAAACATGGTAACTGTGTGTGTTAGAGGGTGCCACTGCTAAGAGAAGGAGACCTGCAGTGGGGAGAAGCAGAGGAGTGAGGGGACCCGGCAGGTCGCGTGTTGGCCAGTCCAGCTTCCTGTCAGAGTTTTCATTTGCTTTGTGTTTCGCCTCAATCAAATTTAGGTTTTAAAGTAACTTAGGAGTAAACCTAACTTGTGCTCTTTGGTTTCCCTGTTAGGTTGAAGTAGCCGTGCTGTTGTTGTTTATGGACTGAATACACTGTGTAACAGGGACCCTTTCTGAAGAAGGGGCTTTTCCCTGGGGAGCTCCACGGTGCCACCAGGGAGCAGGGATAAGCGTGTGTGATTGTAATAACAGCCCCATGTGTCTTTGTTACAAGGCTCGATAGCTCTGAGCTGGACCACAGTGAGAATGAGGACTACACGATGCCTTCACCGTTGCCGGGGAAGAAGAGCGACAAGAGAGACGACGCTGACCTCGTTCGGGTGAGCTCTTCGTGCCTCACGGCAGCTGGACGCAGCACGTAGTCATTGCTGCACCGAAGCCCTTTCCCATGACTCTCCAGTTTGACGTCTGCGTTTGTCATGTTTCAGTCGCAGCTTTGGCTGTGTAATTGTCCTCGCCTGTGTCATTTCAGTCTGTGGGCTCATTCTGATAAGTGGTCTTTCATTTTTAGGTCTTTGGAATCGAACATGCCAATTCCATACTCAGAAATGCTTGTTCAGCTTTATTGTCTTTTTTTTTTTTTTGAAACATAGTAAGTTTAGATTCGGCCTTAGAGAGAACTGGAGTGGATGTCCTTGCAGGCTTCTCCATTTGGTTGACTCTGGAGCCAAACTTTAGAAAGCTGCTGGGACAGGTGGAAGGTGCCACATGCTTCATGAAGTCCTGGATCGACTTTTAAATCTTAGCAGCAGCAGTGATGACTTGTGTGATCGACAGATTTGTCAGGGTCACTTGGAGGCAGGGGGTAGAGTGTCAGCACAGCCGCAGAACGCGGCTATGTTGTCCCCTTCAGGCCAGGAGTGGGGCTGATTTCAGTGTGTGGTTAAGCTCTGGGCATTCCTTCAGTCACCAGTTAGAGCCTCCGCCCTGGCGTCCTTACCTGTCAGCGTGGATGTTAGCTGGTGAGGTTCATCAGGACAAGAGTCACCCAGAACGTGGTGTCCCGCTGCCGTGTTACTGTTGTTCTAGGAACGATAATTGTGATTGATGACGATCATAACCACAAAAACAAACTTGTTGGAATCCACCCACATAGTAGGGGCAGAGGATTAGTGAGAGGACTGAGCTGTGCTTTCTCTCAAGTGTTACTGCCTTTCCTCTTGGTTTCCCAGGAGCTCTGGGGGGCGCAGTGCCTAAGGCATTTGACTGTTAACCAAGAGGTTGGCAGTTCAATCCCACCAGCCACTCCACAGAAGGAAGGCTGGGCAGTCTACTTCCATAAAGATTTACGGCCTTGGAAACCCAATGGGGGTCACTGAGTTGGAATTGACTTGATGGCATGGGTTTGTTTTTTTTCTTTGATTTTGTCTTCTGCTGGGCCAACTTGAGGCCTCCCAAGAATTTGTTGTTTTCAGGTTTCACCAGTAATTCATTTTGTCACATTGTTTCCCATTTCGCTTAGGATAAACAACTTACAATTCTAAGGTTGTTACTAAGTCCTTACTGCAAATTCTGTTGTTTATTAGCTTTTTAAAAATTTTCACCCAAGCAGAATTAAAACTTGATGGCTTGGCCGGAAAGGGATCCTGTTATCTGGGTTTATGGAGCGAATCCTGGAATGGGCAAGGTATTTACTTCCTCCCACCTAGAGCAGGAGTTCCTCCTTGTTCAGGGATCTGCTCAGCAGGGTCTGAACGCGCCCTCAGCGGGCAGCTCGCAGCTTCTCTCCTCCGTGAGAATGGTTGACAAGGCCACCCTCGCCCACGGTAGCCCCACACACCCTCCCTTAGAGTTGGGAAATGGGATTTTTGTTGACTCTTGTTCGTATTTTTAGCCTGTAAATTCCCTATTTAGTTCTCCCTTGGGGAGCTCTGCGGAACCACTCCTCCCTCTCGTGTGGGCCGCCTTGGCTCCCTGAGCTCAGCAGGGCTTAGCTGTGTGGTTGCAATGTGGGCCTCTGCCCTGTGTTGCGGCAGGGATGGGGGTGACGTGCGTCCTCTATGAGAAGTACTCAGAGTACTTGTTACTGCTAAGGTGGTCGCACCTGAAACACTCAAAGGTACTGAAAGCCGCTGCTGGATTTCCTGTCAGCCACCAGCCTTTGCCAAAACCTGAGACTTTAACACCCTCTCACCAGAAACGGTGGTAGCGTTTTAACACGGGAGGGGATGGTTTTCAGTTTAGTGTTAATTTGTCTTTATCTCCCCTTCTCTGAGTAGCAGTGGTTAATACTTGACGTTCACGTCATAAATAAATGGTGTCTGTGGGTATGTCACTCACCTTGCTCTGGTCATTTTGCCTCGTATCACCTGTAGCCATGAGGGAAAAAGGAGTGTTCTTTAACAGCAACCAGCAGCACGGTGACGTGTGTGGACGTTGTTATCGTTAGTCACTGTTGAGTTGAGTCCGTTCTGGCGCATGGCACCCCCGCGTGTGCAGGGAGAACTGCTTCCTGGCGTTTTCAAAGCTGTGGGCTTCCAGAAGCCAGTCACTGGACCTGCCTTCGCAGGTGCTTCAGAGCGGGTTTGAACTGCCAGCCTTCTGGCCAGTACTTGAGCTCTTAACCGTTTGTGTTGTTCAGGCCTCTGTATATATTGACACATCTAGATACAGTCTTCAAAAGAAGTAGGAGGAAACCATTGTGAAGAAACCATCAAAGTGAGGGCCACAGAAGTCCTGAGGACAGAGCAGGCGTGCCGCGTGCCTGCGTGGGGACAGGAAGGAGGGGAGATGGCGGCTCTTTCTAAATGACCAGGAAGTTGTAAAATTGCAGTGCGCTTTCATCTTGAGTGCATGTGGGAGGGTAAACGGGTGTGTAGCACGGAGGGTGGTCGGGAGGGCCAGCCCAGCGGACACAGGCCTTCAGGTGTGAGTAGCAAAATGCTGTGCACTGGCACAGTAACAGGCAGAAACAGTGGCGCACTTTAACACACAACGCGGAAGAGGGCTGCAGATCAGCGGCTCTGACACCATCAGCTGGCTCCACCTCCCGTCCTGTGATACAACAGGATACAGTGGGAATTGAAATTAAACATGCACCAAGGGTAGAAAAGTGGAGATAAAAGTACTAGGACTGTAGGAGACACAGACGGAAGACGCAGGACCGAGGAAATGGTTTAGGCCGTTCACAGACAGATAAAGCAGATGACTAATTAAACACACAAAACATAGTTTTTGTTTAGTTTTCACTGATTTTTAAGACTGTAAATCACTATACCCTTCCTGGAGACTAATTTGGTGCTGAAAACATGTGTACTTAACTGTGTCTCTGTGTGTGTGTGGATAGTGTAAGCATGCACATGCCCGTGTGTGTGTGTGTGTGGATAATGTAAATATTCACGTGTGCATGTCAGTGTGTATGTGGATAACATTAAGTGTTCACATGTGCATATCGGTGCATGTGTGGGTAACACAAGTGTTCACATGTACATGTCAGTGTGTGTGGTTAGTGTATGTGTACATGTGTGTGTGTGTGGATAACATAAGTGTTCACATACATGTCGATATGTGTGGATAACATAAGTGTTCATGTGTACATGTCAGTGCATGTGTGGATAATGTAAATGTTCATGTGTACATGTCTATGTGGATGACGTAAGTGTTCACGGGTACATGTTAGTATGTGTGGGTAATGTAAGTGTTCATGTGTACATGTTGGTGTGTGTGTGGATAACAAGTGTTCATGTGTACATGTCTATGTGTGTGTATAACATGCATGTCAGTGTATGTGTGGATAATGTAAATGTTCATGTGTACATGTCTGGATAACGTCACGGGTACATGTCAGTATGTGTGTGGATAATGTAAGTGTTCATGTGTACATGTCGGTGTGTGTCGATAATGTAAGTGTTCACATATACATGTGCTTAGTGTAAGTGTTCACGTGTACATGTTGGTGTGTGTGGGAATAGCATAAGTGTTCACATGTGCATGTCAGTGCATGTGTGGATAATGTAAGTGTTCACATGTACACGTCAGTGCATGTGGTTAGTATAAGTGTTCATGTGCACATGTCTGTGTGTGCTTAGTGTAAGTGTTCATGTGTATGTATTGGTGTGTGTGTGGATAACAAGTGTTCATGTGTACATGTCTGTGTGTGTATAACATAAGTGTTCATGTGTACATATCGGTGCATATGTGGATAATGTAAGTGTTCACGGGTACAGGTCAGTATGTGTGGTTAGTGTAAGTGTTCACATGTACATGTCAGTGTGTGTGGTTAGTGTAAGTGTTCATGTGTACGTGTCGGTGCATGTGGTTAGTGTAAGCGTTCACGTGTACATGTCAGTGCATGTGATTAGTGTAAGTGTTCATGTGTACATGTCAGTGTGTGTGTGGATAATGTAAGTGTTCACATGTACATGTCGGTACATGTGTGGATGGTGTCAGCATCCATCCATGCATGTCACCTTCTTTTCTCAGTTCCTCTATTTGCGGCTAACTTGTAAATTCTCTCAACTGAGACTAGGATTTTATTTTAAATTGGAAACTCAATGAGTTTTATTTTGGGGAGGGCTGGTTTTGTTGTTAATTACCTGTATCTGAGAAAAAGCATATGTCTGATTCAGAAATTTTAATAGATGATCTGTATGTTTGACTTGCATATTTTACAACTTCTACTTACAGAATAACGGTAGGCCTTCAATGGTGGTGTGAGCACTAATGCTGTACCTTATAGATGCACAGTTGATACTTTCAGTCACATTGTGCGCTCTGGTAGAATTGGAATTTCTTCCCTGGACTATGAATATAGACCCACTTCACCTGGTCCAATAGCACCCAGCACCAAATCCAGAAATTTTCTTTTTCAGGACAGAATACTTCACGCAAAGTTATTATTTAATAAAATACTGATCTTAAGAGGTTCCCCTTTGAAAAAATAAGAAGAAAAAGCTGCCTCTTATCCCAGAGAATTTTTTTTAAAAAATCCTATTAATGAAAGGCAGTTAGTAGTTAAGGTTCTGATATGTTTAAAGACTGTGCACCTTGTTGATATACTATTTTATGATAGAAGTCAGTAAAAGGCTGTATCATTTTAGTCTGCAAAACACATGTACTAATTTTCTGTTTTAAATCGGGCTCATGTTTGTTCCTAGTCTGAATTAGAAAAGCCGAGAGGCCGGAAGAAAGCGCCTGTCACAGACCCCGAGGAGAAGCTCGGCGTGGACGACCTGAGCAAGCCGGTCCAGGAGCAGAAACCGAAGGGCACTCAGCGCGGCCGCAAGCGGGGCCTCCCGGCCTCCGAGGCAGAAGAGCCGCCGTGGCCCGAGGAGAAGCGGCTCCGGGAGGACCTGCTGGAGAACGAGGATGAACAGAACAGCCCACCAAAGAAGGGCAAGAGGGGCCGGCCACCCAAGCCTCTGGGCGCAGGGGGCCCCAGAGAGGAGCCAACCACAAAAGGTTCCAAGAAGGGAAGCAAAAAAAAATCGGGACCCCCGGCCACAGAGGAGGAGGAGGATGACGACAGACAAAGCGGAAACGCGGAGCCGAAGTCGAGGAGCAAACAGCAGCGGCCATCCAGGAGGGCTCAGCAGAGGTGAGTGCGCGCGCGGCCCTGCACAACGCGGTCCTTCCAGGCGGCCACTCAGGTGACGCCCTCCACCTCCTGGTCTCCCCAAAGCAGAGCCGAATCTCCTGAAGCCAGTGCCGTTGAGCCCACCCAGTCCACAGCACAGAAAGGACGAGGAAGACCATCCAAAACGCCGTCCCCGTCGCAGCCCCCCAAACACGTGTAAGTGATCAATAATAGTAAGTGACGAACCACTCTGTCAAAGTTCACAGATACGTAAATACGGCGCGGGCTGTGCTTAAATCCTCCTGTGTTTAGCCCCATCATGTGAGGTAAGATAAAATTTTTATAAACTTACCTAGGTGATTGATATCCCAGCTAACCCTCTGGGAACATTTATTCATTTCTACAGGTTTATATATGAATATTAAATAGTTTATTACTCCATATGTGCCACAGTGGTTAAAACGCACCACTCGTAAGCAGCAGGTGGATGGTTTGAAACCACCAGCCACTCTGTGGGAGAAACAGTCAGCTTCTGTAAAGACTGACAGCCTTGGAGACCCTGTGGTGCAGTTCCAGTCTGTCCTCTAGGGGCGCTATGGGTCAGAATCAACTCCATGGCAGTGGGTGTGGTTTGGGCTTTGCTTCTGTGAAGATTGACAGCCTTGGAGACCCTGTGGTGCAGTTCCACTCTGTCCTCTAGGGGCGCTGTGGGTCAGAATGGACTCCACGGCAGTGGGTGTGGTTTGGGCTTTGCTTCTGTGAAGATTGACAGCCTTGGAGACCCTGTGGTGCAGTTCCACTCTGTCCTCTAGGGGCGCTGTGGGTCAGAATGGACTCCACAGCAGTGGGTGTGGTTTGGGCTTTGCTTCTGTGAAGATTGACAGCCTGGGAAACCCTGTGGGGCAGTTCCACTCTGTCCTCCAGAGGCTCTGTGAGTCAGAATCGACTACGGCAGTGGTTTGGGTTTGGTTCATTTCCTGTATAGACTTCATGGTACCTAAAGAGGAGGTCACGTATTTTTAATTCATGGTGCAATGAGCATGTTGCCTCTGCACTGCCCATGACAGTTTTTCTTCATGTCTCCACTCAGCAACTTTTCTTTTAAAAAAAAAAAAAAGCACAATACCATTCACACTCTACTTTTATTTTTGTGAACTTATACCAGGAAAGTAACAGACATCAGTTTTCTTAAATTATATTCATGGAAATTAATCTTCACATGTTGATCTCAAGTTCTTAATGTCTTGGTTGTATTTGTTTTCTGATGAACATTTCTGTCTCTATGTAAGGAGTCCTATTGGCACAGTGGTTAAGCACTCGACTGTCAAGTGAAAGGTTGGCGATTAGAACCTGCCAGGTACTCCACAAGAGAAAGATGTGGCAGTCAGCTTCCATAATGATGACCGCCTTGGAAATCCTCTGGGACAGTTCTCCTTTGTCCTATAGGGTCACTGTGTGTCAGAATTACCCCAGTGGCAGTGGTTGTAATTTATACGTGTGTGCGTCTATATACATACGTATATATGTGTATATATGCATATATGTGTACATATGTGTATGCATGTAGGCATAGGCGCACACGTGTGTGTACACATGTGTGTATACATACGTACACACGTGTGCACACACATAAAGGAGCCCTGGTGGTGCAGTGCCTGAGGCATCTGACTGCTAACCAGAAGGTTGGTGGTTCAGACCCTCCTGCCACTCTGTGGAGGGAAGATGAGGCAGTGTACTTCCATAAAGATACACTGCCTTGAAAACCCAATAAGGGTCGCTATGAGTTGGAATCACCTGGATGGCAGTGGGATTGCACTGGTTTGGGTGTGTGTGTGTGTGTTTTGGATTTTCACATACACGTCTATATAAGGGAAGTGCAATAACAGATTGGCGCCCGGGATTATGAATGTGATGTGAGCATCAGTGGTGTAATTTGTAGATTTAGGAGTATGTTTTTTAAGTGGCAAAGAATAGCAGGTCTTTGCGATAGTCCTAAGAAATCCGGCACTCTTTCTGAGAGTGATTCTGTGACCGTATCCCACGGTAAGCTCACTGTCCAGAGCCCAGCACACCTTGGTCAGGCGTCCTCAGTGCTCCCCAGGTAGGGAGCTGCCTGAGCGACTAGCCAGTACTTCTGCCTCAGTTAGTTTATTTTTCTCAGATAGAAAATACAGGTAAGTAAATTTTTGTGGCAGCTTATAAACATGTTTGGATTCAGCCAAGGAAAGATGCATAATGAATATCAAACTCCCCTCATTAATTTTATAACAAGGAAATAATGGGGGGTACACATCTTTCAAGCTCAGAACTTTAATATTTTTATATTTGAGCATCATCAAATGAAGGACTTAAATGGTTATTGTGTTCATCTTCTAAATTTGCACCAGGCCTCCCATGAGTGTTCCAAGACAAACAAGTATTTCTTTTAAGAATCAGTACAGAGAAGGAGCCCTGCAGCCGGCTGTGGCGTGGGCTGACCCGCTGGGAAGCAGACAGCTGGTCCAACGGCACACGCCACAAATGTGTCTGCTCTCCTTGTCCCGACAGCAGTGGAGGTGACAAAGATTTACTCATTATTTCTGTGTCATTACCTCTGCTGTTCCTGAAAAACTCATCCCAGTGAAAAATTACTGAGTTTGAACATGAGTTAAATAAGAGACATTTTGTGTTGTGTCATTTCTATCATTATAGAAGTAATATGCTGGTTTCAGATTTGAGAATGAACGTTACCGGGATGGAACCGTTTGATTGGGTGGGGCTCCTGCTCTGTGTGGCTGCTCCACTCCGGGTTCCAGAGAGCACTCGCACCAGGTGCCGGGAGTGCAGTGGCCCAAACAGACCCGGTTCTTGTCCTGATGGGACCTTCCGTTGAGTGGCCACTTTGTCATTGAATGTTGTTGTTGTTGTTATGTGCTGTCAAGTCGGACCCGACTCATAGCGACCCCTCCTTGGGTTTCCGAGGCGGTATCACTACGGAAGTAGATTGCCCCATCTTCCTTCCAAGGAGCAGCTGGTGGGTTTGAACCACCAGCCTTCTGGTTAGCAGTCAAGTGCCTTAGCCACTATGCTCCCAGAGCTCCCTGTCATTGAATAGTCAGCTGTAAATATGGAAGTGTGGGTTGTTACAGGAGGGACCAGTTCCTGCAGCAGGAGAAGGACATCGTGCTGAGTAACGTAGAGGGTCCCCAGGAAAGGGGCAGATCCTCACGGAGGTGGATTCACACAGTGGCTGCAGCGAGGCTCAGGCATCTCAAGGTTGTTCAAATGGCACAGGGCCCGGCAGTGTTTCTTTCAGTCATGGCCGTGAGCGCGAGGCAACTTGATGGCACCTCACAGCAGCATGCATTATGATGTGCCCCCAGAAAAGTTTAGCTGCGCCAACAGCGTAGGAAGAGGACTGAGGTCTTGGCAAAGTTTTCTCTTTGGAAACTGAAAATAAGTCCATTCCTTGAGAATACAGGTAGTCGTTGACTTACAGTGGGGCTTTGTTCATACGACTCCATCCTAAGTCAGTTAGAACCTAAGTTGAATACCTCATTTAAAAAAAAAAAAAACTTTTTATTATTATTTCCTTTTATATCAGTGTCTTCATAAATCTGATCTTTATTTGCCTGTGGGGGTTGATGTGAGAATTAACATTATCAAACACATGCTGCAAAATTGCCTGTGGAACATACTACTAACAGTGATGCAGTAGTTCAGTCTGTGTGTCAGCCTGGCTGGGCCTGGTTGAAAGACTGGACAGCTGGTGGTAGTTACTCCCCATGATGAGACTGGCAATCACCTCTGGGGAGGGATCTACCACAAGCAGCTGAGTAGCTGCTGTAGGGCTGTGGTCCACTTCCCATATATAAGCAGCAGCTTTGGGCATGGTCTCCAGCCTGTGGCACGCTTGAACCCTGCATATAGCCGTGTCGTTGCTCAGCAGCTTGCCATGCTCTGCTGACCTTGGGACTTGCAATGGACTTGAATTAATGGCCTGCCGTGTGGCTTGGTAACATCGGGACTGTGCATTTTTACTTGTCAACCTTGGGCTTGTCAGCCTCAGCAGCCAGCAGCTGCCTGAGTGAAGAAATGCCTCTAGCTCCAGTGGGCCGGGAGCAGGAGGCAGAGCTGGACCCCAAGACTGAGGGGCTTTCACCCAGCCCCTAGAGTCTGACACTTTGAACTCAGACTTATAGCCTCCACATTGTAAGAATAAACTCGTTTGTTAAGGCATCCCACGTATGGTATATTCCTGTCGGAGCGGCACCAGGGACCCAGAATAGGCAGGATGTAAATGACATGCAGCATTGTCTGTAGAGTATATTACTAACAAGGATGCAAATCACACCCTGCAGCCTTGTATATAGGACGTACTACTAAGAGCAGGACGTACGTCACACGCAGCATTCTATGTAGAACATACTACTAACGGGGACATAAATCACACCCTGCAGCATTGTCTGTGGAACATACTGCTAACAGGAGATGTAAATCACACCGTGCAGTGTTGTCTGTGGAGCATACTGCTAACAAGAGATGTAAGTCACATCCTGAAGCATTGTATGTGGAACATGCTATTATCGGGGACATAAATCACACCCTGAAGTGTTGTACGTAGAACATATTAGTCACAGTGGGACGTAAATCACACCCTGCTGTATTGTGTGTGGAACATACTACAAACGGGGACATAAATCATACCCTGCAGCTTTGTATGTAGAACATACTACTAAGAGCAGGACATAAATCACACGCAGCATTCTATGTAGAACATACTAATAACAGGGACATAAATCACACCCTGCAGCATTCTATGTAGAACAGGAGACGTAAATCACACCCTGCAGCGTTGTATGTGGAGCATACTACTATCAGGGACATAAATCACATCCAGCAGCATTATACATAGAACATATTAGTCACAGTGGGACGTAAATCACACCCTGCGGCATTGTACGTAGAACATACTAATGGGTGCCGTAAATCACACCCTGCAGCGTTGCGGGTGGAACATACTAGTAACCAAAACCCAAGCTCACTGCCGTCGAGGTGAACCCGAGTCATAGTGACCCCCTTGGGTTCCAAGGCGGTATCACTACAGAAGTAGACTGCCCAGCCTTCCTTAGTAACAGTGGGACATAAATCGTACCCCGCAGCATTGTCTGTGGAACATACTACTCACAGTGGGTTGTAAATCACATGCTGCCGCGTGGTATGGGGAACATATTAATAGCG